GCACAGCCGCCTGCTGGGAGTGGCCTGGGCTTCGTGGCTGGCACCAGGTGCCTAGAGCCCAGGCTGGTGGTGGTGTGCCGAGCAAAATGAGTACGCATGCCATGCTCAGCACACGTGCCAGGGGCTGGTGACCCCTGGACTAGAGCAAGAGCTGGATGTTTCCTTTCTGTAAATGGCTCTGATGGTCTGTTGCTCTGTCGAGAGTCCCTGGGTGAAACCCTTCGATTCCCGTTGAAAGTGGTTGTTCATCCTTTGTGGGGAGGTAGCAAGGGCAAATACAATGGAAACATCATGGGAAGCTTGTAAATCTACTACCTAATAATTGGAAACACAGAGCACTTCTAGGCGAGCCTGCTGTAACCCAAAAGATTTCCAGCATAAAAGTCTCCTGTTGGGCTACGAACTGCCTAAAAACTGGTTTGGAGACAATAAAAGTTGCAAATGCTTTCACCTTTAGTCCTGATTTACCTCCAGCCCCAGTTTGTGTGGTCAACATCTGGAGGTGGAAAACACCGACATGAAGGTAGGTGGAGTTCCTGCGCCACCATCGGTGCCACGCGGCTGCCCCAAGGGAGGGAGGAGGCTTGTGGGTGAATAAGAGTGTGGCCCAGCTTGAGCAGCCTCGTGGTGAAGAAGTCCAAGGCCCAAGACCAGGCCCAGGAAAAGCAGTGTCCAACTTGCATGGGACATCCTCTGTGTGAGCCCGAGCAAGGAGCCAGCGCAGGGGAGATGGAGGGAGAGAAGAGGGGGAGTGAAGGCCCAAGAAACAAAGCCATTGCAAACCCCAGGTGAGATGTCTATTGAGATCTCTGTGGACATGAAGCCACGAGGGGCGCAGGGCTGGGCCGTACAAGGCAACCGTCCGTGTCGGAGGAGCCGGATGCAGGGGGGCGCCTGCCCTGAGTGAAACTCTTCCAGCTCGGAGAAGCCCCAGGCCAGGGGCCTTTGCTGCACGGGAAAACCCAGCTCAAGCACAGACCAGCCCAGCAGCTTCCCACAGGCAGCGCCTGGATGGGCTCAGGCTCCAGCCCAGGCGGCCCTCCACCCCCACCCCCCGCAGGGCTCTGGGGAAAGGGCCCCCAGCAGCACTTGGCCCTGAGCCCCAGCCCTGGGCTGCTGCCACTGCAGGGGGTCGTGGCCACAAAGCTGGCCCCAAGGGTCTGTTCTGGTGGCCGCCCTCGGGCCACCGAGTGCTGGGACAGACCGGCCTGGTGCCGCCTGCTGCAACGGGACGGGCTTGTCGGTGCAGACGGCACCTTGCACCTGGGCAGCTCCCCGGGGCAGAGTGGAGGGGACGGGGGCAGGTTGAGGGGACTCCTCCGGGGTCCTAGAGGCAAAGGGCCCCCAGCAGCACTTGGCCGTGAGCCCCAGCACTGGTGTTAGCAAATAAAAACCTATGATTGCGGAGTAGCCCAGGGATTGACACGACACCTCATTCAATGAGTGACAGAAAGGCTTTATTTACTACAAGTATTTAAAATCAAGTCAACTGAGCCCAAGCCAAAGCAAAGTCCAGTAATTAGCTATAAAGTGATGATTTCTCACCAAACAGGCAACGAAGCAGCAGTCTGTTTCTCTTCAACTTCTCGAGTAAGTCGGGCGCATCAGCAACTGGTGTCACAGAGATTTCTCACTCTTGAAGCACGTACGCTGTTTGCTGTTTTACTGCCTTTTTCTCCCCTTAGTTTAGCATCTTCAAAGCAATCTTTTAGCTGTGCAAATCAAGAGAGTCCCAAGCAATAATTGACGGGAAAAACCTGCTCATCACTGGTCATCAGAAGTTTCTAATTCGAATGAGTTACCTTCTTTGGTAACAAGAGGTGATCCAGTTTGAAACATATCAAGAAACTGATTAACAGCCAGGAAAAACACACTGAATCAGGAGGAGACATCTATCACATACGGCGAATGTCTCTTCCTGCACATAAACACGAGTTAGTCGCAAAAGAAATATTTACCATGCTAATTAATCAAGGATAGATATCTCATATGGTTACACACCAGACACTAGGAGTCTGCCTGAAATCATCCTAAATAGAGCAAGATGAGCTGAGGAGATACTTCATTATCTCTTCTCAGATGGCCTAGCCATAACCTCGCATCCTCTTGCAACATGCAGTTAGCATCCGTATTCTGTATTTTCACTTTTGTGAGCAGGCCCAAGCTTAGCATGAATTTCAGAGTCATCGCTGGGGCGACGTCCTCAAGGGTCCGTGCTGGTGGCCGTGCTCGACTCCCCCAGGGCCACCGAGTGACGGGACAGATTGGTCTGGTGCAACGGGACGGGCTTGTCGGCGCAGACGGCATCTTTCACTTGGGCAGCTCCCGGGGCAGAGAGGAGGGGACGGGGCAGGTAGAGGGGACTCCTCCGGGGTCATAGAGAATAGGAAGCCAGAGTGGCCCATTTCCCCGCGTGGGGGGTCCGGTCCCCGGCCGTTCCCCCATTACTCAATGGCACAGTCTCAGCTCGGACCCAGGCCCCGTTGCCCAGAGCGAGAACCAGGGCCGGATTCTGTCCCCAGTGAAGGAGGCCGGCGGGAAGGTGAAGATCGGGGCCTCGGTGTCAGCATCGAGAAACGACACCTGCCCCCCCGCACAGTCCAGACAGACCCGCACCCTCCTGGGCACCCGGCGCAGGGACAGGCGGGTGGGAGCAGGGGCCGTGAGAGCCCAGACCTGATCCCCCCAGCACTGCACTGCCCAGATCCCCTCCTTGGGGCTAAATCTGATCCCTCCCTTCCTCCTCACAGACTCTCTGGTGACCCCCAGGGCCCAGTCCCTCTGCCCCACCTCTGCCTCCCAGCAGTGTCTCCCAGAGGTGAATCTCTCCCGGCCCAGCACACATGAGTCCACATCAAATCTCTCAGGATTGTCGGGCACAGGCTGCCGTTTGTTTGTCCATCTCACACTTCTCCGATCCACAGACAGGACGAGGTAGGGATTTGCCGCGTCCGGATCCAGAGTCACCGTCGCTGGCAGAAAGAATGGCAGCGTCAGGGCAGAGCTCAGCCCGGGGCAGACGGGCCGTTCCTCCCCCTCCCCACCAGCCCCGTTCTTCTCCGACCGTCCTGGGCCCCCGGAGCTGCCTCTACCCTGGGTCCAGGGGCTAAGCACCAATGGCCCCGCAGCTCCTCAGCCTGGCACGGGGGAGAGTCCTGCCCCAGGGGAAAGGGAACAGGTAGCTGCAAATCCATAGGCAAGAATAGGAAAATCCCAGCCCAGCGCCCCAGGTCCCAGTGCGGGGGGTATGGTGCTGGGCTAGGAGAGGGTTTGACTCTTGTCCAGGGTTGGCCGTGGGCTCTGCTGGATCATTGTGTTAATGCCGGGACCAGCTCCCCAGCGCTTACCCTTTGGTACCCTTTTGCCCTTCTCCAAGGTGGACGGCAGAGTCTCTGCAGGGGAAAGGGGCACAGATATCAGACTTGTGGTGTCTGGTTCATGCTCCTGGCTTAGACCTGCCTTGGTCCTGAGCCCCTGAGACGGAGCAGAGACACCGGGGCAGCTCCTCCCCTGCTGCTGGGACTGTGGCTGCAGAAGCTGCCCCCACATCTCCCCGCTCCCCTGCCACGCCGCCCCCCCTC